TAATTAACTGACGATAATTCGACTTGTACGTTAATTCGATCGATAACCTCGGAACGCAAGCAGTCGAATTATAGGCAGTTGACTGTCCCTCACCAAAAAGGTTGAAGTTCACACGAGTGATCAACACCTTGCAGATCTATTTATAAGATCATGAAGTCGGACTGTCAGCGCGTTTTCAAAGAGCCCCAATGGAGGACTCCTGGTGCTGAACAAATTCGTTCGCTGCGGCCTTAACATAAGGATAAGAAATCGTAAAATTACATCCCTAAGAGTCTTTTATGGCTCCTGCGGCCCACAAGGGTGTTGGACTGCTAGTCTACAGCACACCAAGGGTGGGTTGTACGCTGACCGGTCTCCCGTATTAGTATGTGATTTTTCTTACTTTTAATTTTACTTTAAATAGGATTGGAGATTACGTGGGCTTAAACGAAAGCGAGATGAAGGTGCTGCATATCAGTCCGATTTGCAAAATGAGTTATCCAAGCGTGCTCTTGCACTAGAAAAAATAAAAACCAAGAAGCAAATACGACTTGCTAACAATAATTTTAGGAGTGCAGTTGAGAGATCGAATAATATAGTAAGCTTTTTCTGATTACCATGGATACTGCTTATCAAACGTCATGCACGACTGACGATTTTTTGAAAGGCGAAAATTTGGAAAATACATAGCGAAGCAGCAGTAAAGATTCACATTGGCATTGCAAATGAGCTCACCTCTGAAGCGCCGGTATTATCAGAATCATCATATGACGATCAGTGCAGAGTAAGTCGTCGTCCTAGCATCTGCAACCTTTGATGGTATTGATGACTACCAGACTGACAATGATTATAATTAGACTTCTGACAATGACTATGACACCAAAGGGTACTTAATAGTTCCACAGGATAAGACAAGCAAACAGGTAAAAGAGCTCAGCAACAAGGTTGCTATTACCTTGTTGCAATGCAATGGGGTATTGCTCAGTACATTAGTACAGCAAACTCAAAAGAGATATTGATTCATAGGAGGAAGATCACCAAAAACATGTTTATATGCAACAGTCCGAGGAGGTATGTTTTATTCAGTGTATTGAGTTTAATGCCTGACATTACTATTGACGTTGGCTTTTCCTACAGATAATATCAACCGAGATTCAAACTCTTTTGACAAAAATGGAAAAAGCAAAGGACAATCGTCTTTTTCAATATTATATTGTTAATCTTGCCGAACAGAATCTCGCAGATGTGATGTACACAATCTTTACGGCTAGTGATCGAGTGCTAATGAAGAAACTTTGGAAAGAAGTAAGTACTTTATGCATATGTCATCTAAAACTTTTGAATTGAAATTCGTGATCACTTTACCTGTTTTAGAGAGAGCCGACCGTGGAACATATGAAAAGAACATCGCGGAAGACTAAGTGGGATAGGATGATCAAGCCTCTCGTAGAAAAGAACACATCGGCAATGAAGTGTTGGTCCGTGTTTGATGACGATGCTGATTGTCTAGATCAAGAGGTTATTCTCGAGAAGCCGTTCGATGGGAAGTTCGTATTCAAAACACATTACGATCTTTTGTGGGTCCGTGACGTATACCAGCGTTTGTGAGTACATATTTCATTGCCTAGCATAGCAAAGCAGTCAACTACTTTGTTTCTCATCTGCATTTCATTGTAGCATGTTATTGTTTGCATCTCCCATAAACATTTTACGAGATTCCGCCACTTCCGAGATCAATTATAGGGAATGTTTTGTAAATCCCATTATTGTAAAAGCCTTTGATGATTTAGTTGGCAAAATTACTTTCAACAGGTATATTGATAGGGTTTTTGGTTTTTATGTATTATGTTAATATTCTCTATAGCTTATTCATCTGTAATATTTAGCGGAGAGGTAGAATGCGAAGTCCGTAAGCGACAACGAAATGAAACTAACAGCCAGAAGACACGCGTAAACCTCGGACCTAAGCATGATGGTATCCTGACAGTCCATGTCAATGCCAAGTCGATGGAAGTAGGATTCATGGAGGTCGTTGGAAATGCCGTAATTGTTGATCCCAAAAAGCGGGCAGGAGATAGAGAGAAGCTTTTCAAAGGTCTGTCCTTTTTATATTACTCATGGTTCAGTTTCTCAAGTATCAGTCTCCGTGTATTCATTTTTTTTCTTCTTCGTCTTTATAGCAATGCAAATATCGATATTTTATCAGCGTCAACATCATCAGGAACGTGGTGCGACGGAAGATCAAATATTGAATATTCAGAGCTTTGGCATTTTAGTATATCGTATGTAACATCATGTGGAATTCGATTCTGATCTTGATTATTAATTTGCCTTGATGTTTTAGAGCGTGATGTTGCCATGTACAGTATGCATCGCACAAACGGCGGACTTTATATTACCGATGTTATGGAGAATTTTACGATACCGGACAGCGCCGACCAGGCATACGTGTTGGAAGAAATTGTGAACAAGGTCTACTTCTTCAAGGTATAAATTCCAAGAGAGACCGTCATTGTTACGCAAATTTTCATCATCGTTGTACAATATCTCAATTTGGAAAACGATAATGCCA